TGCGGGTAATGCTCATCATTTGCTGACCAACCCCAACCTGAGGCCTGCACTGGGATACGTTGAGCCCACAACTTATTCAGCAATCAGCGTCACCAACGTGCAGTTGAAGCCTGTAAGCTTTTTGTGCCATGTGCGATGTCTGAGGGGGCAGGAGCTGGAGACCAAGCTCCCTCCCGTAGCCCAGGCCCGCAAGTTCATGGCCTGGCTTGTGCAGATCCCAAGTCAGAAAATATAGTGGGCAAGGTGGCAATTCAAATGCCTGAGGCAGGAACATGTCAAGCATTCTTGTTTTGCACCTGTCCTTTTTTGAAAAATGTTGGGTATTCAGTACTAACTGGGTCGGAGTAGAGCAAAATTTCGGCTAATAATGAAAAGGGCGCCCAGTAGAGCAAACTTTTGTCCCGTACAGAACACCAAGGCAGAAGGAAAAATGGTATGCTGTGAGAGTCCTGCCCTCTGAATTCCTCCAGGATTCCACCCGAAACAATTTTTCTAAACTTAACGTTACTTGTTTGGAGGGGCTCATGTTTTGAACGCCCCCTCAAAGAGCATCTCCAACTGGCTAGTACCATGCCTGCCTAGCCAAGCAGCCCCTTGTCTGCAACGGCATCCATTCCACAGATTTCCTCTTCAAGAGCTGCCTAAGTAGGCTATGTGCCCGAGATATCTTGTGAGGTTCGCCAATCTCTGGGCGAAGATGTGTTTGACATCCAGTCTCAGGTGATCTTTGACCGTGCCTTGCTTAGCCACACTTCCATGAGGCAGCCTTTTGCAATTTTTTGTTGTAGGGCTTGCCTGGTAGTGATTGCCCAGCAACCCAACCGTCTAGCGACTGGCGTGCCCAGAAGTAGTAGTGGAGGCTGGAACTGGCGACTCCCACCCACCCCTTGCGCATCCAAAAGACAGAAATTATTGCGATGGGCTCCACTTCGCATGCTGTGGAACTAATCGGCACGCCTCAAGCTTTCGCATGTTGGGAAATAGCTATAGCAAACCAACCGCGCTTGGCATTTGCGGATGGGCTGCAACTTTTTCCGTACGAAATTTGTTGAGGCATGCCTGTGTCTGTCGCAACTGCTCGCCCGCACAAGCCTTGGAGCAATCAGGTGTCTACATTTTGACAGGGCAGGCCTCATCACAGACGTCGCTGTGCTACACGTTCGACAGCTCTTGCATTTGTGCCCATGTCCTTAGCTTTGTGAGTGCGATTAAATTGCTCAGGGTCGACATGCTGATTTTTTTAGCTTTGTGCCCAGCCACGCGGCGACACAACGCGCCACTAGCCCTACAGCAGGTTGCATCAGACACGGCACCAGCTGCTTCCTTGGCCACGATGAGGAAGCGGGTCGCTGCTTGTCTTCAACAGCCTTGTCTGCACAGGCTTGAAGGCTGTGGCATTCCGTATCTTGCAGTTTTGCATAGTTTCAGGCAGCTTTGTCTACCTCGATTGAGAGCCTGGGCTGCCTTTGAGCAAGTGCAAATCTGCTGAGCTTCAAAGTGCGAACATGTGGCCATTGGTGCCAGCGGGTTCCAGCCTCTATAGACATGATGTAGGCCGCTTGAAGGCTGTTCTTGCAGCCCACCATGAACTCCTCACAGTGCCAGCCTTGGATGATGCTTTTTTTAACATTCCGGATGTCAACCCGGCAGAGAGCACCACTGCAACAGTACTCGTACCTCTTACGAATGAGCAGAACAAGAGAGATCATGAGATTTTTGCAGATATAAGGCCAAGTAGCACAATAGTCAGACTAGCGCATGCAATTATGCAGTGCGTGAACTCCGAGGAGCGCGCTGCTTGTGATGCTTTCGGACGATATGCCCAGCAGTGAGTTCATGTGGTCTTTGCCTCAGTTCTCCAGCAAGCAGGCTGGATTTCCCTAAGCCCAGCATGGTACAAGAATGCTACACCCCTTTTGTCTTGGGCGCCCATTCTCATATGTATTCGAGTGGGCAGCACAATGGCTTGTGGCAGTTATGGCAGTTGCTTCATTTGCTGTGAAGGTGGCAATGGATTCTTTGTGGCTTTGCGCTGGTTGCTTGCAGCTCAGCGTCTTTTGAAATCATGGCAGGTACGGTAGGGTTTTCGTATTTGGCGTTTGTTAAAGATTTTGCTGCGTGTATTTGTATTTACGGAGTGTCCGTCTAGTGGGATAAGAAGTAGCAACTGTACTTTATATACTCGTTTTCCCTCCACTGTTTGGTGATCAGGCATGTGCTTCGCGTGTGCCAAGCGTGAACATGTGCAACGCTCAGGCTACAGTGATCTCGGTCAACTTCGAAGCGTTCACGGCTGTTGCCTCAGAAGCAGGCGGCACCCAGCACACCTGCAAGATGCATGTTGCTCGGCCCAGCTCCATGGCAGCGACAATTCACAGAAAAATGCGCGTCGGACTGTCAGCCTGACCTGAAACATGCGCATCATGATTCCAGGCCTGGGCCCGATGCAGGTTCATGCTATTCACTGGACACTTTCAGGCTCATTCACGCCATTTGCGCAGTGTCTGCTGCCAAAGGTGTCCGGCCTCACTTCTGACCAGCTCGCAGAGCAAGCCTCGGAAATGTTCTGGGTAATGTTGGACTGACTTTAGTGAAGAGACTTGCTTTAATGTGTTTTCGAAGCCGCTTATTCAAAGCCTGGCCTTTGTTTGGAAGACCCGCTTTTATGTGTTTTGATTTTGGGCCCTAGAAATACGGGACCAAATCCACACCATCACTTTTAGAATAATCTCCCGGGGACCTCAGTACCGTGGGACCCTTCTTCAGGACTTTTTTCAATTTTTCTGATGGCCCTATTGTTACAAGGGGGGGGGCCTACTTTCAAGAAGGTCCGAGATTATTTCGCAACATTACACATTGGCAGTATTGGCAATAGCAGCGAGCGGAAGTGCGTTTCAAGTTTAAAGGGATTCCCGAGCCCCCGATAGCCTACGTACTTTCACCTCCGATAAAGGCTTTTGTGTTGTAAGCGCCCAGGTGGTGAGCATAAACGAATTGCCAGCCCTTGCCAGACAAACAGCACCCACCGCCAGGAGCTTAACGCCTGGCTTGGGGGAAAAGGACTGCCCTCAAGTGACTCCGTTTGGGGGTGTCCGCAACATGGGGATACATTTTGGAGTCCCCGCAATAAGGATTCTAGTATTTCGGGGGTCTGTATCAGGGCCCCCTATTTATGGAAACTATCATTTCTTGTCAAAACTGGCAATAGCTTGGCTACGCCTAGGCAGCCTGTATCCTCGCCGTGGTGGCAGCAAAGGAGGCACTTACTTCAGCTCATTTTCCCTGCAATCTGCTACTGCCTTGCGGCTAGCTGCGTGCTTTTCACGATTTGCAGAGCCCACAAGCCAAAGCTTGGGAGGCCTCAAAAGAAGTCGGAGACACGTTAATTGCCAGAGATTCCAAGGGGTGGCTAAAGTTGCTGTTGCACTGCGAGGTTGCGAGGAGGGCAGCCGCCAGGAAGTGCTTGGCTCAGGTAGTTTCTTCAAATGGAAACTATGATATTATGTTGGGTTATATAGGGATAATGGAAAATCAAATAGAAA